CGGGGGACATTATTAATCGGAGTCCGCGCATTGGAGCAAACGATTTGAGGAAAAGTAAAAACTTTCTCTGCGCCTCGAACGGACGTAATACTCCTGCGTACATATGTATATATATCCAAGTATGATGCAAGAGCTGGAATCTCGGCTGTGAACTTTCCTCGCGGATCGATCGCGCGCATATAGGATGCCGGCGCGCAGGCAGAGAGAGAGAGAGAGAGAGAGAGAGAGAGAGAGAGAGAGGGACCAAAAAAGCATCCTTCCCGCTCGAACCTTGAAAGCACTCGCTCGTGCGTCTGTGCGCGCAACTTGTGCAATCCGCGAAAGCAACTCTCGATTCCCAAGTACGCTTGTACGCGCGAAGACGAGAGAAGCCGCAGTGCTCTTGCTCGCGTTCCCCACCAGCGACTGCTGTCCAGCACGCGCGACGGCCGCTCTACTGCACTTCGCTCTCTCTCTCTCTCTCTCTCTCTCTCTCGGAATACTCGCTCAGCTGACGAGCAGATCATTTTTCCATACACGGTCAAAACCAGCTGAATCCGCGATCTGCGCTCGCTCCCCGCCGTTGCGCAAGCCTTGCCAATTGCTCCTTTTCTCCTTCTTCTTCGTCTTCCCTGGCCGCCGAAGATTCACCTCTCCCTCTTTCTCTCGGTCGATCGGCCGCGTTGCGGGCTTTTCGCCGGCGTGCGCGAATCCCGGCGGCTCCTCTGCCGCACACAGTCATAATCCGAGCGAGTTCGCGGGCTGCACGGCTGGGAGGGGGCAGGCAGGGGCAGAGAATATATTTAGTCGCGGAGAGAGGGGCACTGGACGCGAGCCAAGCTCATCAGCGAACGCGAAATCTAGGCCTCAACTGGCGCGACCTCATCCCTTTCTTACCACTCGCGACGAGCGACAGCTTATAACTCGGCAACTTTATTGCAGCTGGCACAATGCTCACTCACTTGGCTTTCACTTTTTCATCACGACAATCGAGGCGCCGATCGAGCGCTCGTCCTGCGACCATTTTCGAGTGTATCGACTGCGCCGCCGGCCGACTCGGTCGTCGTCAAAGGACGAGGACCGTGCGGAAAGACCATTACGGGCTCCCCGCCGTCGGGGCCCGCGCGCCTCGGGCAGAGAAAGCGCGTCGTCGCTTTTGAATATGCCCATATCGCGCGGGCCCAATTCACGGCGATCCCGCTCGGTCGATCGCTGCGTGTGTGCAGCCACACGTTTCGGCGAACGTTCGAGGCGACTGCTCGCCTGGAACGCGTCCAGGGGCTCGGGGCGCTATCGCCACCGTTGCGTTGCCCGATCGCATGCACGATCGGCCAGATCCATTCGCAGCCTCCGTTATGGAGTCAGCATAATCGCTCGGCGTTTCGGCAGCTTCGTGTACACATAACCTTTCTAAAGCCTCCAGCAACTTCTCACATTAGCCAACTACGGCTCAAACCAGACAAGACGGACTTACCCTTCACGTCTATAATGGATTCTTGAGGTTCCTGACTGCTTCGCTCTCTCTCTCTCTCTTTCTCTCTCTCTCTCTCTCTCTCTCTTTGCTTTTTGCTTACCTGCAATACAAAGCTACCCGGATAACATTGGACTTGCAAAATATCTATATAATACAGAACCTCGGCAAGCAGTCGTCGTCTTTCATGGAGCGTAAACGATGCCTATTATAGTTTTCGTAATCTCGGTTTGTCAGCGCATACAGTTTAAAAGAAAAAAAAAACGTGAACTCTGATGAAAGTTGGTTTGATCGACGTGGGCTCGATAAAGATAGTTTCGAGCTGTAAATCGTAAATTGCGGCGCCGACAGGAGGCTCGATGCACGCGCAGGCTCAGGTATACTTAGCCCGCAGTCGGTGCGGAGACTCGAGTGGAAGTCGCAAGAGCGGCCGAGAGCCGTGGGCGAAGGGCGATCGCCGCGAGGCAGACAGCGAAGCAGCCCTGCTGCGACTAATCTTGATTTCGGAGTGGCGATAATGTTGCGAAAGGCGCCGCGAGCAGAGATACGGGGCGGAGGAGAAAAAAAAAATTGAACAATAATACCGGTTGGTTCTTACTACCAAAGAGAGATTACACGCGCAAGCAAACAGTTACTTTCCATCCTGACCTACATTTGCTTCGCGCGCTGCGTCGCTCGCCGCGCGCTGACACTTGCCGACCCTGAGATTCTATTGGTATGGTTCGCTTCGCTTCGCAAAAAAAACAAGAAAAGCACAAAAAAAAACCTTTTCATTTTCACGGTGCACCAGAAAACTCTCAATCTTTTTGCCGCGTCCCAAGGTTGACTGTCTCTTCGCATTGCATTCGACGGAACTTGACCGCGGTACTCGCCTAGCTCGAGCGTCCCACGCGCGAGGAGCAGCACTGTACAGTCGCGAACGTTGAGCTCAGCTTCTGCCTGAAGATTTCGGCTAGGCGACGCGCGAGCGAGCGAGCGAGAGAGAGAGAGAGAGAGAGCAGCGCGCAGGCGGTCCGTAACGTAAGAAGTGATTGTTGTCGGCAGCGGCAGTCGCGCTGTCGCAATGGGAAGTGTTGCCGCGACTCTCTCGCAAGGCTCGCGCGTTTCGCATCGGCACACGCGATTTTGCCGCAGATCGCACCTTCCGATTGGAAGTGCGCTGCCGTTTGCGCGCGCCCATATAGCTGCGCTCTGCTGTCGAGTTGCCACATCGATCCTTGCTACCAGACTTGCCGAAAATAATACGCGCTCGCGTCGCGCATCGGTCGCGTTCAGCGTCCGATTCGAGGAGATGTTCGCTGACTGAAATTCCGAATGACCGAGTGGACGTTTGTCTCCCGGGCAACGCGTCAAACGACAAACGCTATATAATTTGCCCTACGAGCACGGCATAGCTGCGTCGTCGTAATTCTTTGCGAAATAGGTTCACCGCCGTGGCAACCTGCCGTGGACGTGGCTCTGTGTGCGCCGAGCTGGTGGCGTGGCAAGGAGAGAGAGAGAGAGAGAAGCGCAAGTCGTCGGTTTGCGGCGCTGCACGGCAACAAGAAAAAAAAGGGTCCGCATAATGCACGTAAATGCGGCTCGCCGGCGGCGGAAAAGGGAAAAAAAAAGAGAAAGAAAAGCGAGTGAAGCTTGCAGAGAGCGCGGCACGCGCATTGGCAGGAGAGAAAGAGCCGGCGGATGGCGCATGCGCGCGAGCGAGCGCAATCAAGTTCCTGAATCGAAAGTCAATATAGCGGGCGGCTGTCAATAGCGCGGCATGCATAAATAGATGCCGCTACCGCTGACTCTTTCGCTCTCTCCCTCTCGCGCGAATCTCTCCCGTCGCCGTTATCAGCTCGATTATCGCGATGGATAGAAAACTGTCGTTGAGAAAAAAAAAAAAGAAAAACAAAGAACGAAGATGAAAAAAAAAGTGCGCGCACGCGCAGATAAAATTGCGCTGAGAAAAGCGCTACTCCGACTCGATAACGTTGCTCGTTCCGGAACCATTTCAACAGCGCGACGAAACTTCGAGCCTTCAAAAAGACATCTCGTAGAAGAATTCATTCTATTAGAGCGTAAGGGGCTCAACGAAAAACGCGATAACCGTGCGCCCCCCCCCCCCCCCCCATCGCCCAATAAAAGAAGAAAAAAAATAACGCGGGCATCGATTATAATATTTCTATATTATAGCCACGGCCATCGGCGAGCGTTGCAGACATACGGGCTCTTTCCGTGCTTGGCTATTACGACACGTGTTGCCTCATCGCAAAGGCAACGTAGGCAAGTCGCTATTATGCGCATATGTGTGTATATATCCGCAGATCGCGGTCTTGCGCTCAGCGGCTTGGTCGGTAAGAACGACACCTGCCCAACCCGAGCGCTTGCAGTTCTCGACGCGAGGCGTCGTCTCGCTCCAGTCGCGTCGGTCCGACGAGACGCAACTCACATCGGACTCGCGCTGTACCTGCCATCGGCAACGCCAGCCCTCCCGGTACGCAGCTCCCATTTATTTTGTTCGTCGCAGCTCTGGCGATTGCTCGCCTGCGTCGACGACAAGCACCAAAAATTGGCCGCTTGCGTCGACTGCTGCAGTAACGTTGTCGGCAAAACTTGCGGATTGCTGCTTGCGTCAAAAGCTTCGTTGCACCGAAATAGCACACGTTACGACGCCAGTCCGGCAAAGAAGACTTTCGAATTCGTGGGAAGTCCTTTCGCCCGAGCGAGAGGAGGACCTGCTTCCCCCTTGGAGCTTGGAGCATGGCGTGGCAAAAAGCGCGCGCCGCAATTCAAGGGGGCGGCAGACAGCGCGAGCGAGGAACCTCTGCACCGTTACGATGTTATCGAGGCGGCTGATGCCGCAGTAACGTACGGCCCGTGGCTAGTCACAGTAATAAAGACGGCCGTCTCGGCCCATTATGGTCTGCAGGGCCACGCGGTACCGACAGTCACGACTCCGTGGCCCATCGGCTGGGCAACGTCGCCGTTCGAGTGGTTCGGCAGCAGTGGGGCGCAACAACGCGCAGAGCGGCGGTTGCGAGGGTGCTGCTGGCGCGAGCGAGGATCGGAGCCGGAGTAGCGGTCTCGATCGCGCAACGCCACAGTAGGGGCTTCTGTTCGGTGGTCGCGGTCGCTGCAAAAGGGAGGGGGAGCTGGGAAACGCGGGCCGGGATGAAAGAGGTGCGTGATCCGCGTGCGAGATGGCTAACGGTGCCGCTGCAGCGGGCGCTGCTACATAACTGCACAGCCCGCGCGGCAGGCAGCAGCGGCGGCGGCGGCGGTGACGACGACGACGACGACGACGACGAGGGAGAGAGGACTAGCGGTACATCCGAGCGGTGCCGTTAGTCGACCGACAGATCCGCTAGCACGAGCAGATCTCGCCTTGTTCGCCTCCTCATCTCTCCCTTCCCGTCCGCGGCCCTAGCGCCGCAGCTGGCTCGCCGCTCGCTCGGCCACCATTCCGACCGAGCTCACGGCCGCGAGCCGGTTTGCCGATTATACGCTGCACCGGCACGAGGCGCGCACGCACGCCCACGGCTAGCCGCGGCTTTTCATTCGAGTGTACCTGTGCCGGTGATGGGGGGCGAGGAGAGCTGCGAGCTGCTGATGTCGGCTGGTGGCTGCGAGCTCTGCTGCTGCTGCTGCTGCTGCTGTTGCGGGGGCGGCGGCTGCGGGGGCGGCGACGCGGTCGCCGTGGTCGGTCCCACTTGCTGGGGACTGCTGGCAGTGGCGTTGGCGTTGGCGCTGCCGCTGCCGCCAGCCTTGCCAGGGCTGGCCGCGCTCTCCGCCATTGCTTTGCCTTGCTTCTTTCGCCTTGTTTTCGTAATTTTCGCAACTTTTCCCGTCAGTCGTACACCAAGTTATCGCGCGATTACCGCACCTCGATTGTCTCCGGCATCTTGTCGCTTCGCCACCCTTCGTCCGCCTTGTCCGTCTTTTCTCACACCGAACGCTACTTACACTTGACTCGCGTTACCTCCGAGATAAGACCGATCGATGATCATCGACCCACCGCCGTGGCCGTTCGCCCACTCACTCGTTTTTCTGGCCGGCCACTGCCAATTTTTCGTTTTGTTTCTGTTTCTGTTTTGCTTATTTTCTCTCTAGTCTTTGGATCACGTTAGACGACCCAGGTGCGGCGAGACTCGGGCTTGGTTGCTCCCATTGGAGAGCAAGCTGCACTCGCCAAGCTCGATCGACTGGGAAGCTGGCTAGTTTTCTATCTAGAAGCGAGCGTCAACGTCTCGGCCGTCCAAGCGGCAATGCTCGTCGTCGACCACTTCGGACAACTGCTGCTGGCGCATTTGGCGGCTTGCGACTTGACGGCCATGTCGCAGACGCTGCCGCTGCCACTGCTGGTAGAGCTTTCAGCGTGCCGATCTAGAAGACAAGCCATCCATGCGTTCTTTCGCCCTCGTCAAATGACGCTCGCGCGCGTTCTGGCCAGGCTTTCGTGCGGTCGCCAACAAGGGACAAAGCTAGGAGAGCGAACGCAACAACGACAACGGGCTAATCAACTATCGAGCCCGCAATGGATGACAGGGGCTTCGAGCTGTGCCACAGCAGACTACGCAGTCGATAGGTCAGTGGGCTTTGTCTACGCTACACCAGCGACTGCCAGAAGAATGGCCAGTCATTAGCGTCAATCTTTCGCCAATAAAAACTAATGGCAGATTCAACGCTTCACCTCGAATACACCTCTCTCGCTCTCTCTCTCTCTCTCTCTCTCTCTCTGCCTGTCGCAAACATCACGCTCGCTTCAACGCCCGTCGAGCTTGCAGATTGCAACTTTCCAAGAAATTTTCCAGACTCGCAGTTATCGACTAATAATCGCAAGAGCAGTCGTAATGTGGAGCTACTGGAAAGTTAGAGAACAGGCGAAGGCGTTCGATTGATCTGCGGACCGATAAAAAATAACTGCAATAGTTTGGAAGAGACTGCAAGGTAATCTCCTGGATCGAGGAACAGTCTATGTTGCAACGAAGACTCTAGAAAAGGTTAAGCTCGCCCTCGTAAAAAAAGGGCGAAGTTGCAATAGGCGTAGAAAGAGGGAAAGTACGCGGGAGCGCATGTGTGTGCGAGAAAGAGAGGGAGAGAGGGAGAATGAGCGAGAAAGAAAAAAATAACACGGGATTCGGCGACATCTCCGAAGTACGTAACCGTGTTTCACACGCTTCATCCGAAAAATCGATATTACTTCCTCCCCCGCTCTCAGCTAGGCAAAGCACACGCGGAGCCAACGTACATACAAATGCATGTACACAAGTCTCACACGGTCTCAATCAATTCGTATAACGAGAGAAAGAGATAGAAAGCGAGAGAGCGAGAGAGAGAAAGAGAGAGAGAGAGAGAGAGAGAGAGACGAGCTGTACTTCTCTATGGACGAGGTTCCGTTTGAGGTTTGGACTGGCCGCACGCGAAAGAGGCACGCACAAGCTCGCCACGATGTAGCACGTGCAAAGTGGCGGAGGGTAAAAATAGCAAAGGCGCAATTGCTCGAAAATCTGGCCAGATAAGCGAGAGACGAGTGGGAGCAAAGGAAGAGTCGTGGGATGCTGCTCACCTGGGCTGACTGGCAGCTCGGCGAGGGGTCGCGCAGCTCCGACAAAGGAGCAGCCCGAGCGGAAGGGCGAGGGAGCGCAGTCGGCCAGAGAGGCCACGATAACGGCGCTGGCAGCAGGCAGCAGCAGCAGCAGCAACAACGGTAGCGGCAGCAGCAGGAGATGTCGACTCCGGAGAAAATGGTGGCACTGCACAGTCAACTGGCGCTGCGTCGACGACGAGGACGCGCGAGAGTGAAAGCACGGAGAGATCCGGGCAGAGAGCAGCTCTCGAGCAACCCCTCGCTCGAGATGGGGAGGAAGGCGCGCAGGATTACGCACACACGGAGCGCAGCGCGCCAGAGCGCAGCAGTCACGAGCAGTCGCGAGCTGCGCGACCTACGTCACGCACAGGCGCAGAGCGGCCCCGGTTAGTGTGTCTCGGCCCCGCCGAGAGGGCTGCCCCTGCCGCCGCGGCCCAGGTGGCGCTGCTGCTCGCTGCTCCTCTTCGCGCTCGCCCTCCGGACTTCCTCCCCCGTTTCTCGCTTCCTCGCGAGCTGCGAGCTTCGACGGGCGCCGTCGTCGCCGCCGCTGCAGCTTCGGCTCGCAACTCGCCTCCCCGCGACGTTCGTAGCCCCGACGTGCGTGCAACTGCACCCCGACGCTCGAGAGCTCTAATTATCCGACTGCTTGCTTGCCGCTCGCGAGCCGATCAATATCCGACTGCAACCCGTGAACCTTCGCGGCGACTTGCCCACCCACGGAAAGCGAAAGTGTGTTCTTTCTCTCTCTCTCTCTCACTCTGTCCTTCCACCCCGACTTCTCTCTGCGCTACTCCCCCCGAAAGCTCTGCTCGCCAGATAGACGAAGCCCCATTTTCACACTCACGCTCGTCAAAGCGCGACCTTGTTCCCCCTGTCCTACTTACCTGCACTTACCGACCCCACATTCATCCACGCTTTTGCCTGGCTTTCGCGCTTTCGCTTCGAACCTGTAGCTTAACCCGGATTCTCCGACAATGTTACGTCCAAAATATGACTCATCGCTGCCATTTCAAGTAAAGCGCTCGCAGTGGAATTCTCGCAGCATATAAAAATATGTGGCGAGCGACAATCGATTGGCTTTAGACGGTCAAGTCGAGTTGTCGCCAGGAGGAAATAAGTGAAACTCGTCGATGACATAAAAGGCAAAATAAAAAAAGAAGAAGAGGAAAAATCTCGAGCGTTTGCCGCACTCTGGAAACTGGTGCATGCGCCCTAGGCTCCGCTTCTCCCGCCTTTTCTTTGATCGACTCGACGCGTACCTGGTATCCCAGTGAAGGGAGCATAGCGTGTAACGTTAAATGGCTCAATATCCAATGAGCGACGCGGGCGGCTCAACTTTGCTTTTCCACGATAATCATTAACTATATATCATTAATTATGCATACTGTTGGCAAAGTGCGTAGCGATACTAGCTGGCAACTTACGTATGCGCAGGAAACGTACCTGAAAAAGGAAAAAGAAACATCGATCAAGAAGATATTTAGAGATGTCGTGGATTGATTCGATTTGATCAATAAGAGACACGGATACCGAGTAGGAAATGGTATTTGAGCTGGTTGCGCGACAATTAGTCTGCGTTGGATACTTATCGAGAGAAGCGATAAAGACATTAGAATGCATAACTGTGCTTGGGGGAAACGACATCACAATACCGCTACACGTGCACATCGCAGGGTAAGAGCAGGCGTAGGTGTATCGCGGTTTATCCGCGAAACTCATCTTACGGCAATTGATTGACGAGGGTTCATCGCGACGGCGGCGTCGCTAAGCCATAGCGCACACACACACACACACACACACACACACATGAATGGACGCGGGCTCGCGAAAAAGAGAGAGGGCGAGCAGCCGTGAGCGCCGAGGGATCCTGCATTTCCGCGAAGAGAACGAGGCAGTCACACGGGTCTGGCCTGCACTCACGCGCCGCCTATAAGTAGGTAAAGATCGAGCATCGCAGGCATGTGTGCGTGCGCGTAAACAGTTAGCGGTACCGGTTTAGCGGCTGCTCGGGAGGAGCAGGAGGATTAGAGAGGAGAGGCGGCCGCGCGCGGGCCCTTCGCTGCCTCGCGCGCGGACGGACCGCGCGATCCGCGAGCGACGGGGCTCGGATGCGCTGCGACCGCGCGGAGAGAAGGAGAGCTGACCCAGTAGCAGACTGCAACGTCGTCGCAGCTGGCCGCGAGTGCTCGTAGGGGGAACGAGAGAGAGAGAGAGAGAGAGAGACTAGTTAACGGTCCGGCTGCGGCAGTTTAGTGCTTTTTGTTGGCGCGCGCAGCGGCAGCACGTAGCGCGCCGGGCGAAGCAGCAGAGAAAGTCCGCGCACGGATGCGCCGTTATAACGAGACTTTCGTTCCCTCTCTTTGTCGAGCGAGCGAGGGACGAGCGGCCGCCGACGTTTTACCGTTAGCAGCTCTGTCCCGTGCACCTCGCTCGCGGCAGCCGAGCGAGGCAGGCGCGCGCCGCTGCCGGCCACACGGCTGCAGTCGGCGTCGCGGCGAGCGCCCGAGTCACCGTCGGCCGGCGGGCCTTATCCGCGATGGCTCGTCCGAGCCGTGGCGCAGCGCGATCACGCGATGTAGGCCCGCGGTACCGTAAGCCACCGGTCACGTCAGCCGCTCGGCAGGCGCGTCGAATCCCGTACGAGCGACGCACCGCCGCGATGACGCGCCGATCGCCGACCAACGACCCCCGAATCGGCGAGTGCACGCGCGCGGCTCGTTGCGCTTCCGCTTTCTCTCTCTCTCTCCCTCTCTCTTCGGCCAATCTGCGCGGCCTGCAAGACGCTGAGTATGTAAATAGTGACTCCGCCGGTTCACGCAATAGCGCGTGAATCGGCACATATTTCAATTCCACTGCAGTTGCGCTTTGCACATTGTTGACTACATCGAATTCCAGACAGTCGACGACGAAAGAACGAAAGAGGGGCGAAAGCTCGATATGGTTTTCTTCTAGATTGCATCTTGGAGATAGTCGAGGAGAGGAACCGAGGTTAGCCGCGGCAATAATGCATAACGGTCCGCGAGGAGGCAGTCGCGTGTCCGGGTCGTGCCAGCCGCGAATCGAAGGAGCGAAGGGGCCCTTGCCGTAGCGAGTTCGATCTCGCAACAACGAGAATGAGAATCGAGAGGGGGCCGCGACGCGAACGCTCGGACGAGGAACGATCTGCGGGCAGTGGCTCGATCTCTCGCGATCCGACGATTCGTTTCTTTCGATTCGAAGGCGCGCGCACGGCCGAATAAACGTCCGAGAGGCTCTCGATCGCGTGGCCGCGCGTGCGCGACGAGCTCAAAGTCCATTGAGCTCTCTGCCCGCGATTACAAAGGCGATCGAGGCTGTCGGGAACGAGCGGCAAGTGGGACGGGAAGGACTGGGCGACGGCTCGCGCGTAACGCACACGCGCGCGGGGGTGCTTGACCTGTCGCGCGCGACCCTCGGCCGCTCGTAGCGGCCATTTGCATATTATCGCGCTAACGGGGCAGACCGCTCGGCCCGAAGTGACGAGCGACAAGAGAAAAGCAGACAGACTCTTGGCGGAGGTAGCCGTAGGTCGGTCTGCTCGCGCGGTCGCGGCTGTAGAGGAGGAGAGGCGAGGCGGCACGGCCAGGCAGGCGCACACGCGCACACGTGCGCGTGCGCGCGGCACAGGTAGATCGTGCGCGTTCGCCACGTGCTTTGCCAAGGGGTCATCGGCCTGCCGAGTGCGAGCAGCGAGGAGGAATGGAGCCGCGAGCCGAGGCCTTACAGCCCAAACAGCCTTTGTGGCCGAACTCGACTCGGCTCGATTATTCGACGCACCTTCTCTCGGCTCGTCCGCGTGAGCGCTCGATTAAGCAGATTGAAAGCTGCACTTTCACTCGGCCGCGTCGCCAGTTCGCGCCTGCATCGGTCGAATCGATGTCTCGTCCTTGGCACGATCCCCTCTGTCGTTCCCCAATTTGCGCTCCGTCCGTTCCTCCCTGCAGTCCCTAATTCTTGACTCCGGAATTCGGCACAAGACTCTACGTTCGGCCTCAAGCCGCGACTAGATCTAGCTGTAGTTTGACTCCTTTGCCCGCCGAAATAGTCGTAAAGTGTGTTCGCGGAACAAAAGAGAGACGGTAAAAAGGTAGCCGCACGGCGAGCAAGAGAGAAAGAATCAAAGCAGAGAAGCCGCACCTGCGGTCGACGAACCCAGCTCTCTCGCTCTCTCTCTCTCTCTCTCTCTCTCTCCTTCTCTCTTTCTCTCGCTCCTTCTCGATACTCGCGCTCAGGCACTGGCCCAACCGAATTCCTACCGGACCGGCCAGTGACAATGACGCTGGAATTTTGATATCCACCCATTCCTCCCCAGCGAGTCGCACGTGCTCGTCACCTTTGATTGACGAGCGTCGAAAAACAAGGCGGATTAGCGGCGTTTGGAGAATCAACGTGCGAATCGCGACGCCACCGCGACCGTTGAGTCACGGCCAAGCGGAAAAACGAGAGCTGACTAGTCAGAACACGTGGCAGGAGGCATCAGCGACGACGGGAATAGCTGGTTGAACGCGCAGAAGCGGGGGTCAATGACTGTGGCGGCTCGCTCCTTCGGCCTGGCCGTCCAACTTTTCCGACTGCCTGGCTCCCTTTATTGCGCAAAGCCCCGCCGAGCTGCCGGCACCACAGAGAACGAGCAAACGAAAGGACAAGGCGGAGCGGCGAGCGCGAAGAACGACCGTCGGAGCTGGCATTATCGCCGCTCGTAAGCGCGGCATGGCCGAGACGCGTAGTGGCGGAGAGGCGAGGAGGCATGTGGTTAACGGTACCGGACGCGAGAGGCCGCACGCACGCACGCACGCACGCACGCACGCACGCACGCACGCACGCACGCACGCACGCACGCTCGCACGCACGCACGCACGCACACTTGCGCAAGAGCGCGGCCCGACAGGTACGCTCTTTTCGGGGCTCGCGTACTCGCGTGTACGCAACAGCGCGTCCTCGGCAGCTTGGCCGTCATTGTGCTCGAGCAGGGACGCGCGAGGGACCAGCGAACAATCGCGACCCGACGCGAGTGGACGGGAGATAAGAGCGAGGCAAGGTGACTCGAGGCGAGATAGCGAAAGGAAGGAAAAAAGAAAAAGCCAGGCGCGTCTCCCGAGTTGCGCGGCACTGGCCGCGCTAGCGAAGTAGTAGCTAGAGGCGCCTCTACACGTAGCGGTAGGTCGTTGAACCGGGCTTTTGTTTGGTGCCCCCTCCCCGCGTCGGTTTCTCGCTCGAGCTGCCGAAAGCCGACGGCCGAAAACACTGGTGGGCCCGGAATTACGAAAGCGACCAGGAAAGAGCGAGAGAGAGGGAGAGGAGGAGCGGCCGGTACGCGGCCTACGCAGCGCGGCTGGCGCGGCAGCGATCGATCCCACGCAGCCTTCCAAGGTCTTTGCCACCTGCTCTGCCAAACCAAATCCTTGCTCGGCGCGTCTCGGCTCGCGGGCAGCCACCCAGACCCGCAGCCTCCCGGAATCGATCGCGATCGGCAACGGACGACTCGGCGGTACTCGCGTGAGCAGCCGCTCGAAAAAGGAACAAAGAGCTCGAGCTTGGAATAGACGTTGCTGGTATTAGCGTCGCGTGGCTGATTGTTTATTAATTATGGATCGATACTCTCCGTCTATCTGCTGTGCGAAGGC